GTGTGTGTGTGTGTGTGTGTGTGTGTGTGTGTGTGTGTGTGTAGACCTCATCCATGGAGACTACAAGAGGGCACTGATTTCTTGGGACTGAAGTGAAGGGTGGTTGTAAGCCACCTGACATGGGTGCTGGGAACCAAACTTGGGTTCTCTAGAAGCAGTAAGTGCTCATAACTGCTAAACCATCTCTCCAGCCCCTGGAATACAATCCTAAGGGACCTGGGAAGCTGCGGTGGAATGTACCTACTGCCTCAATCAGAGCTGGAATGGATGGTTTACAAATTCAGCTCTCACTAGTTGGGGACCACTGAAAACTCAACAATACTTTTGGGAAAGGGTCTTAACATGGCTGCCTGGATGTGAGGGTGGTTGCTGCCTGGTGGAGTTTAGATTCTTCATGTTTCTGTTTGTGGGAAAAGAGCTCTACCTATTAATAGCAGGGCTATTCCTGGAGCTGGTGTTTCCTGATGTTTTCTTTCTCTTCCTCTGTGCTATACTCCCCTTGACAAATCTTGAAGCTATTTCAAGTAATTCCTCAGAAATTACCCATTCTTGTATCCTGTGTCGAACCTATTCCTAAGTTTTCTTTTGAGGTTCTCCTGCAATGTCTCTGAGCTATGGGGTGTAGAAAATACTAGCTAAGTTTTTTAGTTTTGTTTTTGGATTTTGTGTCCGGGTTTTTCTATGTAGCCTTCACTCTGTAGCCCAGGCTGGCCTCAAACTGATAGAGATCTGCCTGCCTCTGCCTCCCACGTGCTGGGATTTAAGGCCTGGGCAAGTAATTGCTGGGCAAGTTTTAAGCTTTTACTGAAACATAGTAGCCAATATTTTTGAGTGTTTGCCACGAGTTCAGGGCTTGACTTAATGCTGGTCACACCTTAGCTCTGCTACCTCCCTGTGCAGTACAGGTGCTATTATTGTCCCTGCCTTATGGGTTAAAAATAGAGGCATAGCGACTATGTGGCAGTTAGTAATTTATCTTCTAGTGACTTCCTATTTTTACACCACCCCTGCTGTGCCTTCTTTGACGTTTATCTACTTTGTATGCATGGGGAAGACACATGCCATGGCACATGCGTGAAAATCAAGGGACTGCTTTCAGAGAGTTGGTTCTCTTTCCACTATGTGGGATCTGAGCATTGAGCTCAATTCATCAGGTTTGGTGGCAGGCTTTCTTGAGCCATCTCACCGGCTTTATGATGTCCTTTTAGTGTCTTACTTCTTTCATGGGCCACCTATATATGTGGTTCCGTCATTGTTTGCCTATAGTAGATTGTGTAGTAAGTTTCCTAACCCTCACAAAACTGTGTGCTCTAGGTGAATAACAGTCTCCTGACCCTTCCTCTCCTACCCTGGATGCTCATTAGTCTCTTACAGTCTCAGTCTCTCTCTCTCTCTCTCTCTCTCTCTCTCTCTCTCTGTGTGTGTGTGTGTGTGTGTCTGTGTCTCTGTGTGTGTCTGTGTCTGTGTCTGTGTCTGTGTCTGTGTCTGTGTCTGTGTGTCTTCCAAGTCAGGGTTTCTCTGTAGAGCCCTGGCTGTCCTGAAACTTGCTCTGTAGACCAGGCCAGCCTGCCTCTGCCTCCCCAGCTCTGGGATTACAATCATAATTGTCATGCCTGGCTCAGACTGGCTCTCTTTTAGGGTTTTAGAAAGATCTGGTTTGAGCCTAACTCAGGATGTGGTGAACAGAGAACTGAAGAAGCTGTCAGAAGGCCTGGAAGGCACCAAGTATAGCAGCGTGATGAAGCTCCTCCGAATGATGCTCAGTGGACAGCTGGTAAGATGGGACATGAACTGAACTGACGTCTACAGCCCCTCATTGACCCTTCCAGCCAGTGTTCACAGTCTGGTACTAAGGCCAGTCTAGGGGATGATGAACTAATGAAACATGATCACTTCCTCATTTATCCACTGAGCATCTTCTGTGTGCAGGCCCTGTGACAGTTACAGCGGAGATGGCATGAACAGAACACATGTGATCCCTGCCTCCGTGGAGATCAAGGGAATAATAGACAGATTACCAATTTGCCAAAGGCAGAAACAGACTCCTGGGAGCCAATTGAACGGGAAAAAAATTCAGACAAGTAGTACTGAGTAGGATTAGGTTATATCTTAGTGCTGAAGCATTTGCTAGCATTCATGAAGCTCTTAGCTCAGCAAAAATAAAACAAAAATAACAACCTAGATAAAAGAAAATAAAATAAATATAGACCCCACTCCTGGGTTGCAGGCTATGGGTTGGAGCTGGCCTAGGGTTGCCTTCTACAAATTGAGATGTTGAAACTAGGAATGAATTCCTTCTGCAGTTCAAGGCAAAAAGACAGTGTTTTTGTTTTTTCGCTTTTTTTAGCAAGGACCTCCTGTGGCTGAGATGATGGTGTCCTTGGGCCCAAAGGAGGTACAGGAACGAATCCAGAAGGTGCTTTCTAGTTAAGGAGAAGATGCATAGGACCGTGAACGTGGCTCCAAGGGCCTCTACACATGGAAACTGCATTCTGAGGAGATCAGGAGGCCTGGGGCCCATTTGAATGATGAACAGTAGTAGAAACAGACTCTCTGACTACCCTCATCAGCTGGCCTTTGGGAAAGCCCAGCCTGTTTCACCTCGCTGACTCTGGGAAGGATGAACCTGAACTCATGTCTTAATTTTCTCTCTCTCTTTTTTTTTTTTTTTTTTTTTTGTTTTTTTTTGTTTTTTAGACAGGGTTTCTCTGTAACAGTTCTGACTGTCCTGGAACTCACTCCGTAGACCAGGCTGGCCTCAAACTCAGAGATCCACCTGCTTCTGAGTGCTGGGATTAAAGGTGTGTACCACCACCGCCTGGTTATTTTTTAAAGACTTTTTTTTTTAAATGTGTATGGGTGTTTTGCCTTCATGTATGCATGTGTATAAAATGCATATGTGCAGTGATTCTTGCAAAAGCAACAAGAGAGCACTGGATTGCCTCAAAATAAAGTTTCAGAGGGTTGTGAGCTACCATTTGGGTGCTTGGAATTAAACCCAAGTCTTCTAGAATAGCAGTGTTTAATCGATGAGTCATCTCTCCAGCCCCTTGTGTTGATTTTCATGCCACATTCTACAACAGATATTAGGAGCTGGTTTACAGAAAACATCAACATTCCAAAACAGTCTAGAAGGCTGAGGTCTTGGTTCACTAGGGTGCATAACAAAACACCACAGAATACTGTGACTTAAACCAAAATAATTGATTTGCTTAGTGTCCTAGAGACTGGAAGTCTAGGGTAAGTGTCATAGGGTCGGTTTCTTGGGGGAGCCTCTCCTGAATTGCAGACAGTGCAATTTCCAGGATCTTTCCTTTGTTCACATTTGTCCCTGGTTCCTTTCAGTGTATCCTGGTCTTTCTCATGAGCACCAGTCAGACTAAATGCTACCCACTCTTAACAGCCTCCTTTTAATGTAACACCCCTTTAAAGGTCTGACCTCCGAGTACAGCCTAACATTATATGATACTAGGGCTTAGGGTTCTGTGTCCAGAATAGTAGGCGGGGCACAGTTTAGCCCACAATAGTGGTGCTGGTCTGGGTTCATGGATCCCAATTCTGAGGCCCCATTTGGAGTTAAGAGTCATAATGTACATAGACAGGGCTGAACTAGACATCAGACTTTTCTTTTGATTGTAAATAGAGAAGTTGCTCTTCCAGCAAAGTAAACACTTGTGTTTGGTGTTGCTCTTTGTCCTTGGTAGCTTGTGTCTTCTTTCCTTGAAGGTCATCTGCTCTCTTCCAGTTCCTGAGACATGATGCTTTAACTAGAGACCTTCACTCTCCTTATATTGGTGCCTTTCATCATATCCACCATTGCTTGTATTCAGATCCCTGAAATCAAGTTTCTGTTCTTGAGGTCCTAACTAACTCATAGTAGCTTAAGGAGCATGGTGACCAGGTACAAGACCCCAGCAGGGCTTCTAGATTTCCTTAGGGGCAGCCTCTCTGCACCAGCACACTCTCTCCTGAGGAGGGCAGATGCATAACCAGTCGACTGTTGAAGAAGTGATAGAGGCTTGATCATAAAGAACCTTGTCATCTCTTATAACCAGGAAGACTCCCAGTGGAGGGATTGGGACACCAACCCAGCCTCAAAACCTTTGACCTACAATTTGTCCTACCTATAAGACAAAGTAAAGGTGACATAGAAATTGGGAGAGTGGCCAACCAATGTCCGCTCCAGCTTGAGACCCATGCCACAAGAGGGAGCCCACCTCTGACAATGCCTGGAAAGCCAGGAACCAGAAGCTAGGTAGCCCAGAGACCTAGGATAGAACCAAATATGACCAGCAAAAAAAAAAAAGTCAGTAAAATGATTTCTGATGGTATTCTGCTATACTCCTAGATTGGTGCCTAGCCCAGGTGTCATCAGAGAGGCTTCATCCAGCAACTGATGGAAACATGCAGGGACCCACGACCAAACATTAGGCAGAGCTCAGGAAATCCTGCAAAAGCAGGGGGAGGGGGTGGAAGGACTGTCCAGAAGGGTCAGGGACACCACAAGAAAACAGAATCAACTAACCTGGGCCCATAGAGACTCACAGAGACTGAACTGACAACCAGGGAGCCTGCGTGGGTCTGACCTAGGCCCTCTGTATATGTGACAGGCTCCTGGGAGCCAATGAAATGTGACAGTTGTGTAGCTTGGTGTTCTTGTGAAACCCCTAACAGTGGGAGTGGAGGCTGTCTCTGAGTCTTGCCTGTTTTGGGGACTCTTCCTTTCATGGGTGCACTACCATGTCCAGTTTGGGAAGAAGGGGTCTTAATTGAGAAAATGCCTTTATAAAATTGGTCTGTGGACATTTTCTTGAGTAATGATTGATGTGGAAGGGTCCCACCCACTGGGCATGCCATCTCTGGGCAGTTGGTCCTGAATGATATAAGAAAGCAGGTCACATAAGCCATAGGGAGCAAGTCAGCAGGCAGTGTTCCTCCATGGCCTCTGATTTCAGTTTCTGCCTAGAGTTCCTCCCTTGGCTTCCTTCCATGTTAGAATATGAGAGTTCTAAGATGAAATAAACCCTTTCCTCCCCAAGTTATTTTTAGTCATGGTGTTTTATCACAGCAGTAGAATCCCTAACTGAGACAGATGGGAACCAGGCATTGGTAGCTGATGGCCTGTTTAGCTGAAGTCTGCAGTGGGAACAGGTAAGCCCCAGTGATGGTGAGTGTTTACTTTTTTTAGCTATTTCCCCTTAGGTGTTGGGTGACTTTGAGCTTAAGATTCAGATTCTGAACCTGATGGACTACCAGAGGTGCTGCTGCCAACCTTCACTAGAAATAGATAGTCCCATAGAGACACACTCAATGTAAGAAACCTACCCAAGGGACTTAAATGGAGGAAATTCCAGAGGCTGACAACAGAGTGGGCCAGAGTAATAACACCAGTGGCTTACTGTGTGTGTGCTGCATCTACTTCAGCTGCTCACGGGCTTCTGTGTAGCTTTGGAGCCTGTCCTAGAACTCATTCTGTAGACCAGGCTGGCCTTGAATTCACAGAGATCCTGCTTCTGCCTCACCAGTGCTGGGATTAAAGGCGTGCACCACTACTGCCTGTCTCATTAACATTTTTTTTTTTTATGATTTATTTTTATTTATTTTCTGTCCATTGGGTTTTGCCTACATGTATGTCTGTGTGAGCATGTTGGATCCCCTGGAACTGGCGTTACAGACAGTTGTGAGCTGCTGTGTGAGTGCTAGGAATTCAACATGGGTCTTCTGGAAGAGCAGCCAGTCCTCTTAACTGCTGACCTAGCTCTCCAGCTCTTAGCTCATTAACTTACCCCAGGAGATAGGTGGTATTATTACTGTTTTGGGGGGGGGATGTTGTTTTGTTGTATTTTCCTATGTTACAGATGGAGAAACTGAGGCTGTGAAAAGGTAAGTAACACTTTTAGGATATGATATGAGACAAAGTCTTATTTAAACTCAGACCTATGACAATTTCAAGAGTCCAATCTAACTCTTTTGGGATCCAGGTTCTCGATATATAGCCCTGGCTGGCCTGGAACTAGCTTCATAGACTAGGCTGGCCTTGAACTCACAGAGATCTGTCTTTTTTCCCCAAGTACTGGAATTAAAGGCAGTGCCATCATGCCTAGACCAACTCTTAATTTAAAAAAAAAAATTGTTGTATGAATGTTGGCCTGCATGTATGTCTCTTTGCCATGTGTATGTCTGGCCCCCATTGAGGTCAGAAGAGGACATCTGATCCCCTGGAACTGGAGTTATGGGCAGCTGTAAGCGGCCATGTGGGTGCTATGAATAGAACCTGGGTCCACTGCAAGAACAGCCAGTGCTCTTAACTGCTGCCCCCCACCTCTGTTGGAGCCCACTAGGTTTCCTAGTGGCTTTACCCAGCAGGACTGCATAAGGGGTTGATTGGACCATGGGCCTGGGTACCAGGTGACTGTAACTAGCAAGGGAGAGGTCCATCCCTTGGCATTGTTATAAATACACCTTTGGAATAAAGTTTCTGGGCTGGTGGATAAGGATCCAGGCCCACCAGAGTCTAGCCTGTGTTTTCTCTTTGTTTCTTTCCCTGTCTATTTCTAACTAAGTCTCTTATCCCTCATTCATTCCTCAAGAGTTCCTGGGGTAAATAAGTGTGGGGGCGGTCTCCCACACCCCTTCCAACTCTTTTTTTTTTTTTTTAATTTATTTATTTATTTTTGGTTTTTCGGGACAGGGTTTCTCAGTGTAGTTTTGGTGCCTGTCCTGGATCTCGCTCTGTAGACCAGGCCGGCCTCAAACTCACAAAGATCCACCTGGCTCTGCCTCCCAAGTGATGGAATTAAAGGCGTGCACCACCGCCGCCCAGCCCCTCCAACTCTTACGTGACATCAGAACTACTGCTCTTGAAACATTAAAAGTGGCTGTTTCAGGTGTGATAGCACATGCCAGTGATCCTAGCCTTCAAAAGGCTGAGGTAAACTGGGCATAGTGGTGCATGCCTTTGATTCCAGTGCTCTGGAGGCAGAGACAGGTGGATCTCCTGAGTTCAGGCCATCCTGTTTTACAGAGCGAGTCCCAGAACATCCAGGCCTACACAGAGGAAACTGTCTTGGGGGTTGGGGATGGGGGCTGAGGCAGTAGGTGAGCTCAAGGTCATCCTGGGCCACAAAAGCCAAAAGGAGGGGCAAAGGGTGAGGGGATAGAGAGAACATAGGCTTGTGCTCAGGGAATGTGAATATTTTCCTAAAGTGATAGTAATGCTAAGTAATGTGGAATAATCCTTCTGTACACTGTGAATATGTATTACTCTCACTGGTTAATAAAGAAGCTGATTGGCCTACAGCAAGGCAGGATATAGTTAGGCAGACTGGGGATACTAGATGAAGAGGGGTGGAGAGAGGGAGATGTACCCAGGAAGCAGGATGTGTAAAGAATGAGGTAACAAGCAATGAGCCACACGGGGAAGCATAGATAAGAAATATGGGTTAATTTAAGTGTAAGAATTCACTAGTAACAAGCCTGAGCTATCGGCTGGGCATTTATAAGTAATATTAAGCCTCTGTGTTGGTTATTTGGGAGCAGGCAATTGGGACAGGAAAACTCCACCTACAAAGTAGATCTGGTATGATATTTTGGGCCTGTAATCCCAGCATTTGGAGGTGGAAACCAGAGGATCAGCAATTCAAGATTATCCTCCATCCTCGGCTCCATATAGAATTATTAATTTTTTTTTAATTAGTTGTATAGTATGTGAGGTCAGAGGTCAGCTTTCAGTGGTCAGTTCTCACCTTCAGCTGAG